GGCCTCTGTGGACTACTGGAGGGGCCTCTGTGGACTACTGGAGGGGTCTCTGTGGACTACTGGAGGGCTGTGGACTACTGGAGGGGTCTCTGTGGACTACTGGAGGGCTGTGGACTACTGGAGGGGCCTCTGTGGACTACTGGAGGGGCCTCTGTGGACTACTGGAGGGCTGTGGACTACTGGAGGGCTGTGGACTACTGGAGGGGTCTCTGTGGACTACTGGAGGGCTGTGGACTACTGGAGGGGCCGCTGTGGACTACTGGAGGGGTCTCTGTGGACTACTGGAGGGCTGTGGACCACTGGAGGGCTGTGGACTACTGGAGGGGTCTCTGTGGACTACTGGAGGGCTGTGGACTACTGGAGGGCTGTGGACTACTGGAGGGCTGTGGACTACTGGAGGGGTCTCTGTGGACTACTGGAGGGCTGTGGACTACTGGAGGGGTCTCTGTGGACTACTGGAGGGCTGTGGACTACTGGAGGGGCCTCTGTGGACCACTGGAGGGGCCTCTGTGGACCACTAGAGGGGCCTCTGTGGACCACTGGAGGGGCCTCTGTGGACCACTGGAGGGGTCTCTGTGGACTACTGGAGGGCTGTGGACTACTGGAGGGCTGTGGACTACTGGAGGGGTCTCTGTGGACTACTGGAGGGCTGTGGACTACTGGTGCGTGCAAGTGAGCGAGGTAGCATTTATCTGTCACAACTGCCTGAGCCAGCGATGGTGGATCTGGCTGAGCTGGCATATGCACTGGTTGTCACTGGAGGTGTCTGGGGAGGGAGGTGTCTGGGGAGGGAGGTGTCTGGGGAGGGAGGGGTCTGGGGAGGGAGGTGTCTGGGGAGGGAGGGGTCTGGGGAGGGAGGTGTCTGGGGAGGGAGGGGTCTGGGGAGGGAGGGGTCTGGGGAGGGAGGGGTCTGGGGAGGAAGGGGTCTGGGGAGAGAGGTGTCTGGGGAGGGAGGGGTGAGGTGTGGCAGCGTGGGAGGCCCTGAAGTGATAACTGCATGGCAAGCACAAGCACACCTCCAGGTTGTTGTCAAGGAAGGGACGGATCATGGGGAGGAGCTGGAGGATGGCTAAGGGGTAAGGAACATTCTGACACTTGTAACCTGTGGCTTTTTCTCTCTGTAAACATGGTAAGGTCATTGGCGTGGGTCACTGTAAGGATACTCGGCGGCGTTACACAAGGCCTTCAGGCAAGGCAGCAATACTATAAGGACCCTGGAGAAGGGTGGTTGGGAGATGACCCAGATAGGTCCTCCAGATAGATCCACCAGGTCAGATCTGGTTTCTTCCGGCCCTTCTCTGGCTATAGCCGGGGGCTTACGAAGCACCCTCTTTGCTAGCATCTGGGCCTGGAAGCAGGTAAAGTTGACTTGGGACCAGACATAAATCAGAATCCCCTTCCCTTTGTGCTTCTAAATTTGCTAGCTGTTCCCCTTAGTCCCAGTCCCCAGAACTTCAAGTCTGCCCTGGGCGCCTGGTGCCTGAGGTTAGACACACAAGTGTAGCTGAAACGTGATGTTCTCATGGGAGTTGGTGGGTTTCATGTTTGCTGTGACCCCATCCCCACCCACAGCCACAGATCACGGGTCATTCAGGGAAGGAGCTGGCTGCTACAAATCATCGCTAGGATATTCTCCCAGAACAAACAGGAAAATTACCCAGAAAAGGATTCCACAGGGCCAGGGTGGGGGCGGTTCCCAGCACTTCCAGTACACGCACACTCTGTCCCTAGTGCCTCCAGGCAGCACACAGCCCTGAGGGCCAGCTGAAAGACTTCCATTGTGCTGGAGAGTTGCCCAGGCGGTGAGCCTGGTTCCCACCCACACTCGCCATGCGCCCTTGCCTCCATGTAATGAGGCAGGCCTTTGTGGCTTTTTAAACCAATCTTTTTAGTTTCTAATTTTGTATAGGGGATGGGGGAGATATATGAACTGGAGACAGCACACACACACACACACACACACAGACGCCAGAGTGAAGGTCAGGTGACAATTTGCAGGAAAAGGCTCTTTTCCTCTGCCATGTGTTTTCTGAGGATCAAATTCAGTTCATCGGGTCTGATGGCAAGTGCCTTTACCCACTAAGTTACCTTGCAGGCCCTGAGCCTGGCCCTCCCTGTAAGGTTTAGAGAGACTAGCTTTATTTGGTTTGCAGCTACAAGGCCCACTCTGTGCCAGGGAGTGGGGACAAATATTCTAGTCTTGAACTGAGCACAAGAAAGCTGCTGGACCCTAACCTGTCCTAGCTTTGGACTTTAGCCCCCAGCTGGTAAGTGAGGGTCTTTAGGCAAAGCCAGGAGCAGAATGGATGGATGCCCTCTCATAAGTCTGTGGTTCCACAGAGGGAAAACCTGAGGCTCAGGACAAGAATTCCAATCTGTTCTCTGGGTAGCCTCCAACCAGCAGCTGTCAGCATAATGGAACCAGCTTGAGTCCCAAGATTGGGGTGGTGCCCCGAATGCCAAGGTCTGTCTGGGGACAGGTTTTCCCACTCCGGCTATGTACTGCCAAGGTTTCAGTTGCCTGTGGAACTGTCCTTCATTTGGGATTTGGGTTGAGATATGGAGGTTGATGGGGACTTGGAGCTTGGGTGAGGTTTCCTTTCTCACTTGGGACGGGCTGCAGTTCTAGGTTTGGAAGCCAAGAGCCCAAGGCTGCCCAGGCATAGCCTGGCCCCTGCTGACTGAAGTGGAAAACTGCAGCACTGTCCTAGACTTCCCTGATGAAATCAAGGCCATACAAAACAGATATGGGCAGGAAAAACTGCTTTTTGCCACCTGTCTTAACAGATGGCAACCTAGGCCAAAAATACATCCCTGGTCAACCTTTTTCATGTTTCAAGTGACATGAAATAAGACGAGAATTTCTGAGGAGTCCATCCTCTCACCAATATAACCTTTTCTTTTGCCTCCCCCTGCTGGGCAGAATCCATGATATGAGGGAGGAGGAGTTGTTGTATGCTTATGTGTTTATATCCCTTGTTTAAAAAGAGGCAAGAAAAAGAGAGGGAGGGAGGGAGGGAGGGAGGGAGGGTGAGAGAGAGAGAGAGAGAGAGGGAGAGAGAGCCAGAACCTGCTTCTTGGTCCAAGGCAATAGACACTAGAAGCATCATCCTTAAAGTGGAAGGCCACAGTTGCTGTCTACAGGAATCCAAAAATACAGGCAAGAAACTCCGTCAGCACTGGTAGGAAGGTCTACCTCCCTTGGTGGACCACAGTGCTGTTAGTTGGAATTCCAAGGGCTTAAAGTGTTAAGGATATTCAAAATTGGTCATCAGGATTTGTCCAGTCAATGAACTGTGTCACATATACTATATAACATTTCAACCCAGATCTTGGCAACTCGGAACTGAATATTCATTATGTTTCCAATACTCCTATTTTATCTGCATATTCAAAAAATGTATTGTTACAAAACAGCGACTTATTAAGATTACTGAGGTGGTCAAATTTGATGGGATAGATTTTTAGCCTCTTGGTTCAAGTTTTCATGTGATGCGCCCTCTTCAGCGCTGAGACTGATGAGACACTGTCATCTGCCTGGAGCTTCTTGAGACATCACCACCCAAACTACAAAAATAGAACATTCATATATTTTTATTTGAGAATTTCGTATGAGCCTCAATCACTCACTTCCCACTCCTCCACCCACATTCACTTTCTACCCTTGTGACCCCCATTTTTTTTTGAGACAGGGTTTCTCTGTGTAGCCTTGGCTATTCTAGAACTAGCTCTATAGACCAAACTCAGAGATCCACCTGCCTCTGCCTCCCAAGTATTGGGATTAAGGGCATGCATCAGTATTTAATTTTTAAAGCCATGAAACATGACCATTTTGGCTTTTAGAGAGTCAGTTTCTCGGTACCTAGATAGGCAATTTATATGTACCTATATCACTTGGCCCCTTTGGTCAGGCATCTCTGCCCAATGATGATACCCAGTTAACTTCCTTTGTTCTCTGGGAAAGACACTGAAAGTACAGTAGGCTGTCACCCTTGCTAGTCTAGCTGTATTAATACAGAGTAGTGAGATCCTGGCAGATAGGAAATGATTTCTGCTATCACTGGTATCTTCTGGGCAAGAGGTACCATGGGTATCTTTGCTCTTATCTACAGCAATATACCACGTTGTGATGGTTCATTTTGTGTGTCCTCTTGGCTGGGTTATGGGATATTTGGTCAACCATTATTACAGGTGTTCTCATGAGTGTTTATGTTTTGGATCACATTGACCTGCCTAACGTGGTTAGAGGCCTTATCTGACCAGATCAGTTTGAAGGCCTGAGTGGAACTAAAGGGCTGGACTAGGGATGTAGCTCAGTGATAGAGCACTGTCCTAACACAAGCAGGGATCTGGATTTGCATTGGTAAGCAGGAGAGAACTTTCCTTCTGGCCTTGAACCTGGCACATGTCTTCCGCTCTGCTGCCAGCCATTCACTGCTCTGCAGCCTGCTGGCCTTTAGACAAGCACCACAGCACTGGCTGGCCCAGTTCTCAGGACTCTGAACTTAAGACCAGAACGAAACAGCATATTCCTGAGGCTCGGGCTTACTGACTCACCCTGCTGGTCTTCAGATTTGCCTCAATGATCACGTGAACCCATTCTTTTTTTTTATTTTTTATTTTTTTGTGGTTTTTCGAGACAGGGTTTCTCTGTGGCTTTGGAGGCTGTCCTGGAACTAGCTCTTGTAGACCAGGCTGGTCTCGAACTCACAGAGATCCACCTGCCTCTGCCTCCCGAGTGCTGGGACTAAAGGCATGCGCCACCAACGCCCGGCGAACCCATCCCTTACAATACACCTCAGAGTCCTTCTCTCCCTACCCACCCCCTCCCATGTTGATTGCTTCTGTGTAGAAGCTAATTACTACAAATGCCCAGGTCTTCTCCCTTTTTAAGGGTCCTATCCATCCCAACAATGTATTTGTCAGATAAGTGCTAAGATGATCTGAGACCCTTAAAGAGAAGACAAATATATAATACAAGACTACACAAAAGTCATACATGATTTGTCAGCCTTTATTAATCAAGAGTGAAGCCAAGCCCTAGAGTTTCCTTTAAAAACAAAACAAAAAAACCTTCAACCTTGTTTATAGCAAACAATGATTAATTCTCAGTGACTTTTAATTTTATGTTCACTACCATAGATCAAGAATTGTTTGCTTTCCAATCATATATATTGAGATTAAAACACAAGTGTAAAACAGGTTAAAATAAGATTCATCCCAACAATTTAAAAAATAATTCCAATTGAAAGACATTTCAAACACCATGTATAGAACTCAGGACCAAAAGATGACCTTAGAATATTTTACCTTTGAGGTAGCACAATAACGCTTAATTGGATTTTTTTATTACAATGAATTAAAAACAAAACAACAACAAAAACCAAGGAATCTAACCCTTGCTCAAGGTGGGCTAAATGGTTTTCTGCAAATCCCCATTTTTTTAAGTATAAAGATAGCCCTGCAGTGTGTAATAGGAAACCCCTGGGAAGGCTGCTTCCCATAAAATAGACATTAGAATCAGAGGAACGTCAGCAGTCAAGACAGGAGGAACAAGAGGTAATCGTAGTGAAAAATCAACACAACCCATAACTTGGCGAGATTGGCTTACAAATGCGTATCAAAAACAAAAACTCCAATGTCAACTGACTGAGAAAGATAAAAGATGACATTCATGGGTCCTTTTCTTTCTCTGTGCAAAATGCTTTCATCTTTTTAAAATGAAGGCCGTGACACGCCACAAAATGCTGTGTGTCCAGGGCACCAACAGCACCTATGGGCTCCACTACCACCAGCAGGGAATCCGGGGAATGGGGGTGAACACAATCTCTCCAGCTGGAGAACTTTCTTTTTTGCCACTTTGCTGCTGAATTTGCTCACTATGCTGCTTAGAGAAAAGCTCAACGCTGGTTTCTGAGACTCTGTATCAGGGACACAGAATTCTTGATGAAGAGTATGAACTCAGGACAAGAACACAAGAGCCCATCCTGCAGAGAATTCAATCAAGAGAAGAGTGAGTAGGCAAAGCTGGGGACAGAAAGGAAGGAAAATACTGCAGTTGGACCTCGAGGCTCTGAGGACTATTCTCTATCAGCCAAAGTCAATAGCAAAGCCAGGAAGAGGGGGGAGCTCTAATCCTCAGAAGAGATGCGCTAATAGAGGGATCTGGCTCTCCCCCGGGTGGGGTTTGGCTGTAGAGGCTGCTGGCACAAGAACACTGAGACCTTGAGTAACACCTGCTCTGTCACCTTTGACTCTCTAAGCTGCAAAGAGAATGGAACACTGTCAGGTCCTGGCACTGTGGTAACAGCCTTTCGTCACCTGCACTAGTTCCTTTAACAACAAGTCCCTTCTGCAGACACAGGGGTCACACTGCAGTGAGGGCTCAATCAGTAGTTAGAGCAGAACTCACACCTGATGACTTCTACCCTGTAAAAGAGCAGCCATCAGTGTGGCAGGACAGGGGACAAGGGGGGCTCTGAAGACTAGACTGGGATGTGAGGGCAGGCTGAGAACGCCCACCCCTAGCAGCCTGCAGGCATAACTCTGGCATGAGATTCACAACCAGTCCTAACCCATGCTGGCATGGGGGTTCAGAGTTCTTCTAAGGTCTGGGAGCTAGACTTTTGGGCTGCTCCTGGAGCCCAGTGCACCTCTTACCTTTACAAGAACCAGGTGTTATTCGGTCAAAGTACAAGGTTTGATTTTTTAATAAAGTAATACCATAGAAAAGGACCTTAGGAAAATTTGGGATCACCACAAAGGTTTTCCAGTGCTAGCTGCCTGCTTTGGAGTAGTAGTTACAGCTGTACAATTTCCAGAACTGTAACACAGGCTACTTAGGGCAGTCTGAAGAGTCCTGCTTTACTTCATAGAACACAAGAAAAAGTTAGTAATTTCTAAAATTGTGGTGATTCATCTATTCTGGACATTTCTTGGCTTCAGTGACCATGGCAAAAGCTGAGAGAGACAGTTAGAAAGGCCTTCACAGTAAGTCTAATTTTATAAATGGCAACCTTTCTTTCTGTGGTTAGTACAGTGCTGGAGATCAAACCCAAGGCTTTGCACACACTACATACCTGCTTTGCCAGTGAGCCATGCCCACCCCCTTCCCCAGTGATACCAAGTTTTGAAAACAGATACTTAGGACAAAAGTATGAGTCAGCTGACAAACTCCATGTATATATGGATATGTCCAAGATGAATTCCCTAAATAGAGAAATAATTCCCTTAAAAAAATTAGTTTCTTTTCAAAAGTGATGATTCCTAGCCAAGCTATGCGACAATGCTGGAAGGAGAAGAAGGACTCTATGCAGCACAGCCTCCTGCCAGCCATAGTCATCAGCCAGCGGAGCAACTGCGAACAAGACGGGCAAGGGGCGCTCAGGGAACTAAAGGTCAGATAAAGCGATGACACCTCCAGATCCTGGCTCCTTGTATCAGCACCATGCTCTAGCCAGCTGAGCTAACCAGCTACTCCTGATGCCTTAGAAAATGGCAGCAATTTGTTTATGCAAGCTGCACAGAGGTTAAACAAAACTTGCTAAGAACAAACAACAAAAACGCTAACCCAGATAACCTTTCCTGGCTCTCTGCTACTGGCAAGAGTGCTGAGTCCAAGTTTCTTGCTAAGGTGAATCTAAGTTATCAGTCTGCTCTGTATGGACCTGCTGGGCCTTCAAGAGGCCTTTTTCTGAGCATCACTATGGGCTTGGACACAGCTATATGTTGTGTAGCTGCCAGCAAATAGTACAGGACCACTGGGGCACAGACCTCCATTATAACTGCTACCATCTTCTACTGGGAAGCGAAGGCAGCAATTATGAACATGCTGTGAACTTTCTCAAAAGACAAATGAGGAGACTGAAGGCTGTACCATTTCCTCCCTTGAGAAGGACTGTGGAGGTTCTGCAGACCTTAGGGTAACTTTCAGAAGCAACATTAGCAGCAAGAGAGGAAAGGATGTTTACACTTTGGACTTTGTATCAGGCACTTAAATTGCTGGAGAGACAGGCCATTCTGAACCAAAGATGTGAAACCTGGGTTGAAGTAAATTGTTACGTAAGTGGTCTAATGATGGGCTTTCAGAAGCAAAGTGGAGGTGGGGGTGGGGCCTCCGTCCATCTTTCAGTGCTGACTCTCAAGATTTCTAAATGCCCTTAACCACAGCAATGGCAGCGGCGGTGACAGCAGCAGGAACGGCTCTGTCGTGTCTGTTTTCTGTGTGTGTTCTGTGGCTGACTGGAAGGTTTGGTGTCACACTGAGAAGGCTCTGGGAATCGTCACATCTACTTCCCAGGGTCCATCAGATCTAAGTTGGAGCCAAACATCTTCACCAGCTGCTCTTCGTAGTGTGAGATGTTCCTCTTCATGATGTCCATGCATGGTCCCAGAAGCCTCTCAAATGCTTGAACATCCATAACTGCATTGTTAAAAAAGTGTGGGAGAGAGGGTTTGTTTACATTGACAGGTGAAACAATCTGCTGCACGCCACCCTTCCCTGTACCACTTCCTCACGCTACAGGAGATTCCGTCTAGGACACTGGGAAAGGGATGCTGTAGGAATGCAGGACTGCATCTACGCTGAAGACTAACTGGGCACTGCAGTGCCTGCCTGTCTTCTTCCTCCACAGACCTGGCCACCTGCCCTCATCTCTGCTGCTTCCTCAGGGCTGTGGTGCTGTGTGTCTGTCTTACTCGGGGCTGCTCACTGCTTAGAACTGACTGCTATTGTGCTGGGGATAAAGCTTAGAGGTGCAGCATGTGCTCAGAATGTACAAGGTTCTAAGTTCAATGCCCAACACCTCCCCCACCAAAAAAAGCTTTGCTTTAAGAATTCATTTACACAAATACCCAGACCTAGGTCCAAATGAGTTGGACTGAATAAATCAAGGCTTGCTAACAGGAAAACAAAAAACAAAAACAAAACCCTGTATATTAGAAAAAAATTAGTAATGTACAAAGAATTTTCTTTTCTATTTTAAGGTTTTTATTAGCACATATGAATACTACATAATAATGGTTTTTATTATGGCATCTTCATACATGTACATAATTTTTTGTTTGTTTTTTTGGTTTTTCGAGACAGGGTTTCTCTGTGTAGCTCTTGAGCCTCTCTTGGCACTCGCTCTGTAGACCAGGATGGCCTCTGCTTCCCATGTGCTGGGATTAAAGGCGTGCGCCACCGCTGCCGGTCATGTGTATGATTTTTATCATATTCACTCCACCCCACCTCCTCTCCCACTCCCACCTGTCCCCTCCTCTTCCCCGCCAGCTAGTTCCTTTTTATTCTTCTCATTTCATGTCTTTGTTTTGGGGGGAGAGATAAAAGTTGAATTAGGATTATGTCATGGGCAACTTATCAGTGGCTACCCTATGAGGACAATCTCTCCCCTCCCCCAGCAACTATTAACTGTCTAAGATTTGGGGGGACCTTGTTAGCCCCTCACAAAGAACTTTTCTTACCTAAGCATTTGACATCTCCAACCGCATAGGCAGAAGCAGCTCTGGGTTTGTTGGTGACCAGTGCAAGCTCTCCAAAGTACTGCCCCTTATGGCAGTGGGCAATCTCAACCTCCTGGTTCCCACCATTCTTGTTCATTTTAGTCTACAATAGGCAAAGAATAAGAACTGGGCTGACTCTAAGATCACAGCTGGGCATGTCCAGTTGCAGACAGTCAAATTTGTTAACTCACAAAGTTCAACAAAGTTACTGAGGAATTTGCTTGGCAGAAACTTTTTTTTAAATTTATTTATTAATACAACACCCTGCTTCCATGTGTCCCTGCACACTAGAAGAGCGCACCAGATCTCATTACAGATGGTTGTGAGCCACCATGTGGTTGCTGGGAATTGAACTCAGGACTTCTGGAAGAGCAGTCAGTGCTCTTAACCTCTGAGCCATCTCTCCAGCCCAGAAACTCTTAACTGTATCCTGTAAACTGAACAGACAGCTCTCTGGGGCCTGGTATAGCTGAAGAGTTGTTTTACTTGGGGCTCCACCTAACTCTAACACATTTCAGACAATGGCTAAACACAAGCCAGTCAATTCCAGCACTTTCAGTGGAGATCACAAATTCTTCTGGGAGATGTGACTGAAGCACAGTTGGAACACAAGGTCTTCTGCTAATTCCTCCCAATAATGAATTCTTCTCTTAGTGACGAGCCAAAGCTCAAGAATATGTGTTGGATCAAGACTGTCTTTACAGTGACATTTCTTTTAAAGCACTATGTGTACTTACACTAGTACTGTACCCTCCATTCTTAAAAAGTTAACTATATCCTTTAAACATATGTGTTATGGTGTATTTATTTGGCACTCTGGGTTTCACATTTCTTACAAATTCATCTACAAAGTAAGGCAGTAACAATAAATTATGAGAATCAGTCTCAGTCTCTAAGGACCAGTAATGTTATAGAAATTTAATTCCACTTTTTTTTTTGAGATAGAGTCTCACTTTGTAGCTCTGGCTAGCCTGGAACTAGTTATATAGACCAGGCTGAGTCTGCCTGTGCCTCTTGAGTGCTTGGATTACAAGTGTGTGCTACCATGCCTGACTAATCCTTTTTCTTATTCTAAAATTCTTATTTTATTTATATTTTAAATGAGTGTTCTGCATGTTTATCTGCAAACCAGAAGAAGGCATCAGATCCTATTATAGAGGGTTTTGAGCCACCATGTGGTTGCTGGGAATTGAACTCAGGACCTCTGGAAGAGCAGCCAGTGCCCTTAACCACTGAGCCATCTCTCCAGCCCCCCTTTTTTGTTTTTGTTTTACCCAGTTTTTGAAAATATTTTATTTTCTTGTGTGTGTGTGTGTGTGTGTGTGCGCGCGCATGCATGGTGTCAGAAAGGAGGCCTTGGCAATCTGTAGGACCTCGGAGAGTGGATCAGTATTTATCCCTGGCATATGGATGGACTTTGGGAACCCATTCCACATGGACGGGTGCTCTCTCAGCCTGGACGCATGCCTGGGATGCCGGGGAGGGCCTGGGTCATGCCTGGGATGATGTGACAGACTTTGAAAATCCCCCCATGGAAAGCCTCACCCTCCCTGGGGAGGGGGGGATGGAGTGGGGGTTTGGGGGGTGGGGAGCAGGGGAGGAGGGGAGGGAGAGGGAGCTGGGAGTAACATACGTAAAAAGTTAAATAATTTAAGAATTAATAAAAAAAGAATGACAATTAGGAAAAAAGAATCAAGCTATCATTTAGACAGTAGTAAATGTAAGTAGCTTGGTTTTCACCCTTTTTAATTGGAAAGAAACTTTTTTGTATACTGCATGGTATGAAGCTGGACATTAATAACAGCACTGCCTTTAGTTCTTTTTGGTGTTTTGAGGCAGGACCTCACTTATAGTCTAGACTATTGAATGCATGGTCTTTCTGACTCCACATCCTCCCTGCCAATTGCTTAAACCTTTACTAAATATATCTTGCAACAGATTATATATATATATATATATATATATATATATATATATCTTACTATTTCACCAAATATATATATATAGGTTTTTCAAGACAGGGTTTCTCTGCATTGTTTTGGAGGCTGTCCTGGAACTTGCTCTGTAGACCAACCAGGCTGGTCTTGCATGCCTTTAATCCCAGCAATCAGGAGGCAGAGGCAGGCAGATCTCTGTGAGTTCAAGACCAGCCTGGTCTACAAGAGCTAGATCTAGGACAGCCTCCAAAACCACAGAGAAACCCTACGTGGAAAACCAAAAAAAAAAAAAAAAAAAAAAAAGCAAAGCATTCTTCCCACCTACAAGTCATCTACAAATCATTAATTATCAACACCTCTCTATCCACAAATACCACAGTAGGAATGTAATGGAGACTTTCTCTGACAGTGTTCTAGAAACAGGATGCCTTCTTCACATCCAACCTCATAGATACATACCTATTACACGATGTTCCTGTATTAGTGATTTTATATTTTCCTCATTTATAGGTCAGTATCCCTCATCTCACTAATTATATGATGGCGGCAAAATCAGGATAAGAGAAAATATACTAAAATTTTTATTAGTGGGAGTCACATGCCTCATAGAACAACGATGGCTTGACACTCTAAAACACAGGTCACACTGTATAAAGTCAACACTTCCTGGGAGGACATCTGGCACAGCACCACCCAAACTCACCTTGCTTTTAATCAAGATGCTCACTTCCCCGGACTCTATAATATAAAAGCTGTCAGCCTTCTCACCCTGAAAGAGAGGAACTCGGGTCAGAGTTACATATAGCATTGAAGACTGTCAGCACTGAACGACCTCAGGTCTCCATCTCCAACTCTATAAGCAGATTAATGGCTAACAAATTCATAACAAATTTGAGGATCCTGATCATTAAGAACATTACTCAACCATGATTGACACATTTCCAGGAATATGATCACCAGGTCACCAACTATACAGCATTGCTGTTCTGACTGGCTATGTTGGTGTGCTGAAACTCATTCCAGGGACCAGTAAACAAGAATACTGCAAACAGTATCAAGGTAAGTTGCTGGAGTGTGAGGCTGTGTGTTTTGTATATAATTGGCCCCATAAGCCCATAGGGAGTGGCACTATTGGGAGTCTGGCCTTGTTAAAGGAAGTGTGTCACTGTGAGGCCAACTTTGAGGACTCGTTTGCTTAAGTTTTACTCAGTGTCAGAGACCATTTCCTGTTGCCTGCAAGATGTAGGACTCTCAGCTACTTTGCCAGCACCGTGTCTGCATGTATACGCCACGCTCCTTGACATGATGTTAACAGACTGAACCTCTGAACTGTATGAAAGTGAGCCACCCCAATTAAATGTTTTCCTTTGTAAGAGTTGCTCTTCACAGCAACAGAGCACATACTAAGACAGAGGTCTAGGAATAATCCTGATCAACAAACACAATCCTTGAGAAGAGACTGGGGAGAAGCTCAGGCACTGCAAGCCAAGCACAATGACCTGAGTTCAATCCTCAGAACCTATATCTGAGGTAGGAGGAGACAGCTGTGGTGGGACACACAGTGTTGGCGAGGCAGACACAGGCAGATTCCTGAGGCTTGCTAGCCAGCCAGTCTAGCCTACTCAGCAAGTTCCAGGCCAGTAGGGGTCTTGGTTTGGTTGTTTGCTTGTTTTTCTATCTATCTGTTTTGTTTTTGCTTTTTGAGACAGGTTTCTCTATGTAGCCCTGAATGTCCTGAACTTGCTTTGTAGAGCCCAGGCTGGCCTCGAACTCAGGGATCTGCGTCTGCCTTCTAAGTGTTGGGATTAAAAGCGTGTCTCACCACATCCTAGGAGACCTTGATGTTTTTTGTTGTTGTTTGTTTTATTTTTTTTCTTTAAAGAAGATTGTATATTAGGAATGACACTTGAGGTTGTCCATCCGTTCCCTCATATATACAAAGAACCGAAGTTGTCCGTCCTCCCATATACACAGAGTCAGGGTTGTCCATCTGTCTATATACACAGAGAAGGCAGCACGGATCTATCTGGACAGCTTTGCCTTCATGCAGTAGGTGCTTTCATGCCATCTTTCTAAGCTTTAGGTTTTCCCTTTGCCATTCAGGTAATTCAACAAATAATGCACTACGTTCTCACTGTGTGCAGGCATTGGCCCAGGAAAATGAGGGATATATACTGAATAAAACAAACTAACCAAGAAATATGATAATCAGTAAATTATACAGTTGTCCTGGAGGATGGCCAGTGCTATAGGAAAAGAGCAGAACAGGGACCACAGGCTTTCAAATGCAGGTAAGAGGGACTAGCTACTTAAATAAATGATGAAGTCTGAGCAAAAGCTAGAAGGAAGTGAAACTCAGGAGAGCAGAAAAGGGAGAAGAGCTTTGGGCTTATTTCATTTTCTCACCCCTCACAGTGAACTTCTGGAAGAAACCGTGGATAATTCAATAGCAATTATGTGCTATCGTTGCTTGTTTTGTTTTGAGACCAGTCCAGCTACATATATCTGGCTGGCCTGGAATTCAGTGTGTAAGCCAGGTTAGCCAAACTTTCATCAGCCCTCTGTCCTCTGCCTCCACAGTACACGGCTACACACTCGGCCTGGTGTGGACTGGACACTCTTCCTAAGTGTGACTAACCACTTCAAACCCCAAATTGGACAGCACAGTTAAGGGTGACTTGCCTGAGGCAATCCAGTCCCAGGCTGGGCTGGGACTGGATTATAGGCTCATGCCTATAATCACAGCACTCAGACAACTGAGGCAGAAGAATTGCTGTGAGTTTGAGGCCAGCTTAGATCAAGACCTTGTCAAAAATCTAAAAGGAGAGTTTATATTACAGTTTGGATGTAAATGTCTCCCAAAGATTCATATGTCTGAACAGTTGGCCCCCAGCTGGTGACACTTTCTTGGGGAGTTACTGATCCTTTGGAATGTGGGGCCTACCTTCGTCACTAGGAGTGGGCCTGTCAGAGTTACAGCCGAGCCCTGCTCTGCATCTACTTCCTCATTCTGTCTTTACTTGAGGGAACAGTTACCACAGACCGACTAGCTCCTTCGCTGTGATGAACTGACAGTCCCTGAAAACGTGAGCCAGAATCAACCTTCCTTCCCTCTCTTTAGGATGTTGCTTCCATCAGAAATTTGGTCATAGAGATGAGCAAGAGAACTGACAAGTCTCTGGCGAGTCTGAGCAAGGAGGCACATGATTATAAGGAAGGGAAGAGGACACTGGTCTGCACACATGCTGCTGGGATTCAGACAGTACCAACTCCAGGTCAGTAACGTGAGATGAGAGAGACAAGCAAACGTGCTTTCTAATGTATATAACCTCTTGCCTTAATAAGTATGTAATATAAATTTAAGCAAAGCTTTGCTTTATAAACAAAAAGTAAATGTGAACATTTCATGGAGTTTGTATTTTGTATATTCAAAGCAAAAACTGAGTTTTACATAAACCTGTGAAACAGAAGTTGCACTCACTTTTCAGGGCCAGCTCAGATGATATTTTCTCTGTGAAATAGCATGGTTTAATCACTTCCTTTTCTATACTCTGACTTTTATCATATGCATATCACAGAGTTTATTACTTCAATCTTGTTTATCCTAATCTTAAATTACATGAGGGAACCTAGAAAGCAAAGTCATTCAGAGATGTAACCTGGAATGAACATAATACTTTGTCAAAGCTCTTCTAGTGGGCCTTTCTCTTCTCTTTCATCAAAGACTTGACTAGTTCTCAGGGTTCTGCAGGGCTGGAATTCACACTGATCTGAAAACTATCCTCCTCAACCCAGTTGTGTTCAAGGGCAGACACAGTGCCTAACTCAACTCTTTCAGATACCTTCCCAGTGTTCTTGTCAGACCTACTGGCAGACGTTTGTATTGGGAAAAAGTTCCTAAAACTATTTGCATGTAATTAAAATACAAACACAGCGGGCAGAGAAAATTATTATATAATACTTTTTAAAAGACATTTTGGTCAAGGGGTGGTGGCACACACCTTTAATCACAGCACTTGGGAATCAGGGGTAGGCAGATCTCTGTGAGTTCCAGTCCAGCCTGGTCTACAAAACAAGTTCCAGGATAGGCTCCAAAGCTACACAGAGAATCCCTGTCTCGAAAATCAAGAAATACAAAAAACAAACAAAAACAAAACAACAAAACAAAGCAGGGAGGTGGTAGACCAAGTCTTTAATTCCAGCACTTGGGAGGCAGAGGAAGGTGGATCTCAGTAAGTTCAAAGCCAGCATGGTCTACAAATTGAGTTCCAGGACAGCCAGGGCTTCTACACAGAGACACCCTGTCTCAAACAAGAAAGATAAAGAAAAAGAAAAAAAAAAGAAAGAAAGAAAAACCAAGAAATTGCTATGTAGCTGAGAGTAGCCCTGAACTCCTGACCCACCTGCCTCCACTTCCTAAGTGGTAGGATTCTAGGCATGTAGCACTATGCCCACTTTGCAGTCTTCCTTTAATTATAAAGGTTCAGTTCACTGCATGGTGATCTTACATTACCCAAAAAAAGACAAAGCACATATACATATCAAGACATCTCATAGATCTGATTATCACTGACTGCTGAAGATTCTGGTGTAACATCATCAAGAGGTTGCTTTTGTGTCAGCAGAGACAATAGAAAGTGTAAGCCCCTAGTTTTCTCTAGTTTCTAATACAGATTAATAAAGCTTACTCAGGGTCAAAAGAAAGTAACATCCAACAGAAGCCCACCCCCAAATGAATGGAAGTCTGAGTCTGGTGGCACATGCCTTCAGTCACAGTGACTCAGGAGGCTTCTGAGTTGAGGACAACTTGATAAATTCTGTCTCAGAATAAAAAGGGCTGAGGATGCAGTGGCAGAAGACTTGCTTAGTGGTAAGTTCAATCCCTGGTACTTCAAGGGAAAAGGGCAACAAGAAATATCCATGTATTGGGGAGATGGACACCAAGGACTTCAGAGGTCTTTGTAGGAAGGACAACACACCATCCAATAATGGAAGACATGTACATTTTGGCTTGCATTTTTTTCTTCCTTTTTTTTTTTTAAATAGGGTATCTCTACATAGCCCTGGTTAACCTAGAACTTACTATGTAGACCAGACTGGTCTCAAGCTCAGAGTTCTGCCCATCTCTCCTTCCTGAGTACTGGGATTCAAGGTATGTGCCATCATGACCAGCTAGGTCTTTGTTTTCTATCGGAGTCAGAGTAATACAATGTGGCCTGGGCTGGCGTTGAACTTGTGAACATACTGCCTTGGCCTCTTAAGTGCTGGCATTGCAGGTGAGCATTACCATGCTCCTCCACAAGTGATGCGCCATTCCTTTAGATGATGACTCCCAGGAAAGGAGCAGTGTGAGACCCCAACGCACCTGAGTGATTATTCGCTCTCCATCCTTATAGACCTTTTCTCCGATCACATCCACAATCTTCATTCGTTCTGACATCTACAGAACATAGTTACACAGTATAAGGAAAAGCCTTGATTGAATGCCATTGTTACAGAAATAGGTTAGAACATTATTACTGGAAAACCTAAGAGAAGTTTTAACAGCTTTTCCTAAATCACACAAACAGACTCTTATTCAAACTTTACCTCTAGTGATTTAAAGAGTGGCACAGATTCAATAAATGATTCAAACATCTTCCTCTTTTTTGCATTGTTTTTCACTATGATTCTTCTAAAAGTCAGCCGGTCCTACAAGAAAAAAAAAAAAATAGGAAAATTCTAGTACATGTCTGTGTAAGAGAGTATCTATGTTATAAATAGCTGAACCACAGCAGACACTAGAGACCTGTGGAAGTCAGTGTAGCAACAGAGTTGAACGGTGCTGGAAGAAAAACCCTCTCACCTGTGCTAGGCAGAAGGCTCCAAACCTGTAGCTTGCTGTGCTTAATGAGTGTGCCACCTATGGGCCACACATGGAACACAAACAAAACTCCCCTAAACACGTGGTGCTCACAATCATTACTCAATGCCAAAAACACCCTTCAAAAGTCAGAAGCAAGGGCAAATAATCAGGTTGTTCTTGCCCTCCAGTGGTATGCAACTGTAATGAGGAGACAACACAGAATATATAGGGCCCATGCCATAATACTTAGGAGGCTGAGGCAGGAAAACCATAAATTCAAGACCACTCTGGGCTACACGGTGAGTTCTGGGCCAGCCTGGGTGACAGTGAGACCCTATTTCAAATAAAAACAAAACAAAGGCAGGGTGGTGGCGGCGCACACTTTTAGTTTCAGCACTCGGGAGGCAGAGGCAAGCGAATCTCTGTGAGTTTGAGGCCAGCCTGGTCTACAGAGTTCCAGGACAGCCTCCAAAATAATACAGAGAAACCCTGTATCAAAATGTCTCCCCTCCCCCCAAAAAAACACCAAAGCATAAAATATATAAGAATTTTTGCAAATGATACATACAAATGCATATATGTATGTATGTACTGACTTTAAAAGTGTTTAGTTCAAGAAAACATTTGAACTGAAATGTATTAGGGCAAATTATAGAAGGCAAATGCTACAATCATTTCCAGGATGAATTCCTGGGCATGACAGTGAAAGCCTACGATCTCAGCCACTCAGAAAGGTTAGGCAGAAGGTCCCAAAGTTCTAAGCCGATTTGAGCAACTTAGTTCTGCCTCACAAAGACAAAATGGTTTTGGAATGTGGCTCAGTAATAAGAGCACTTGTCTAGAATGCAGGATGTCCTCTGTTCAATCTCTAGTGCTGTCCAAATTTGTTTTAAGTCTTCTTTTTTCTTCCCTTTTTTGAAACAGAATTTCTCTGTGTAGTCCTGGCTGTCCTGGAACAACTATGTAGACCAGGCTGACTTCAAACTCTTATCCTCCCCTGCCCTAAACTACAGTATATTATTTTATAGCTCTCTGGCATTTAGTTAAGTTGGTCTCCATTTTCTTCACTATCTGCTTGCTTAACAGGAACTTCTGGGTCTGACTGCTCTCACACTTGCATCGTCTGCCACTGAGTTCTGAATTCTAAGTAAGAATTTATCACATGTAAGAGGTTACTTTCATATTTTGGAGTATTATGCCATTATCTTTAAAATTCAATTTCTATGTATTTTCTGGGCCAATCTAGGTCAAGAATATTGTAGAAAGAGGGCAATTAAGTCTGATAAACTGTTGCCAGGTATGGTGGCACATGCCTTTAATACTAGCACTTGGGAGCCAGAGGCAAACAGATCTCTATGAGTTTGAGACCAGCCAAGACAACTACACAGTGAGATCCTATCTCAAAAGAAGAAAGACTGAGAAAGATGATAATTATTAAGTTCCCTTCTTTATGTTTGGAAGTTGTTAAGGAAACAGCATTTTATAATTACATATGTTACCAAATCATTACAATTACAAAAGTAAACTATATTTCTAGCTGACAAGAATTGAGATTTTCTTTAATGATTTATGTGTTGGGGTTCCAGTCTCACCAATTTGTTTGTTTATTTATGTATTTATTTATGTATTTATTTATTTATTTATTCATTTGTTGACAAGGTCTCATATAAGCCAGGCTGCTCTTGAACTCATCATGTAACCATGAGAACATGCTACCATTAATTTTTATTTTATGTGCATTGGCATTTTGCCTACATGTATATCTGTGTGAAGGTGTCAGAACTCCTGGAGCTGGAGCTACAGACAGTTGTGAGTTGCTATGTGGGTGCTGGGAACTGAACCCAGGATCTCTGGAACAGCAGCCAGTGCTCTTAACCACTGAGCCCTCTCCAGTCCCACCATGCCTGGTTTTATGCAGTGCTGGGGATTGAATCCAGGACTTTCTTTCTGTACTCCATCCACTGGGCTATATCTCAGCCCAGTGCAATCCTCGATCCTCTGTATGCATGCTTTTATACTTCCCAGAACTCTCATTTTATGCTGTGCAAGGCCAGTTCTCATAGCTGTGAACAGAAAAAAACAAAACCCCTAAGATGCCTACCTAATTTTGAGGAACAGCCAGTAGAACATTGAAGAGGACACTCCCACAGGCATTAAGTGTGCAAGAGGACTAAAGGTGTTCATTCCCTTTAGTGAACTTAATTCTCTAAGGACGTTGTCAGGGGTTACGAGATGCTGGCTGACAGGGCTTTTCCTCAGCACTTCGGTTTTCTCACTCATAATGTGAAACCTCTGCATTCAAGACAGCTCTGTCTATTGTTTTTAAACTTTACGGTGTGTATTGGAGCATCAATTTCTTTATGTTTTTGTTGTTTGGGATTCATTCTTTTTGTTTGTTTGTTTTGAGACAGAGTCTCACTATGAAGCCTTAATGGCCCGGAATTCACAGAGATCCACTTATCTCTACATCTAAATGCTGGGATCAAAGTGTGCATTACCATGCCTGGCAGGATTCACTTTTTTTTTTTTAAACATACATACATTTATATATATTTTTTTTACCAGATTTTGAAATTTTGGGTTCATTGATTCTATTAATAAAAAATGTTAATTCTATGATATAAATTAATTCTTAAAGGTAAGTAGAAACTACTAGATACCCTTATTTTAAGAGTGAACTATGTGGAAGCAGAGGCAGACACCCACAGTTAAACACTGAAATGAACCCAAGGAACCCAGCGATAGACAGCGAGGAGCGATGAGCAAATTGGCAAAGAATGGGCTGGCAAAAACAGCAGAGACAGATGATCCGAACAGGAGAAGAGCTCTTGGACCCCAGACCGACAGCTGGGAGGCCAGCATGGGACTGATCCAGACCCCCTGAGTGTGAGAGTCAGTGAGGGGGCCTGGGCAACCTATGGGGTCCTGAGTAGTGGATCAGTGTTTATCCCTCGAACACTAACAGACATCGTGTGTCCATAGCACAAAGAGGGTTGCTCTCTCAGCCTGGACTCTTAGGGGAGTGCCTGGACCCTACCCTGAGTGAAATGACAGACTCTAGATGTCCCCTATGTGGAAGGAATTGGCAATAGGGTGGGAGGATGGGGGGATGGGGGAGGGTGCAGGAGGAGGGGGAGGGAGAGGGAACTGGGATTGATATGTAAAACAAGCTATTTAAAATTAAAATAATAAGAAAAAGAAAAAAAAGGGAACTATGGAGGCCAGGTGCTGGTGGTACATGCCTTTTTTTTTTTTTTTTTGAGACAGGATTTCTCTGTATTGTTTTAGAGACTGTCCTGGAACTTGCTCTGTAGACCAGGCTGGCCTTGAACTCACAGAGATCCGCCTGCCTCTGCCTCCTGAGTGCTGGGATTAAAGACATGCACCACCAACTCTTGGCTGGTACATGCCTTTAATCCCAGCACTCAGAAGGCAGAGGCAAGTGGATCTCTGAGTTTGAGGTCAGTCTGGTCTAAAGAGTAAATTCCAGGACAGTCAGGGCTACCAGAGAAACCCTGACTTGAAAAACAAAAACAACAACAAAAGTGAAATAAGGAATTTGTATTATATTTTTGAAGGAAGAGTTACAGATTATGGACACATAACAATACAAGAAGAAACTAGGTAGACAGTAGATAAAATGATACAAGAACCATAGTATTTTACTTAATGCAAAATTCCATTTCCCTGAATACGGTCATTAGCATCGGATGTGGGTGTAGACAAACGACAAGTGGATGACTGAACACAAAGTAAACTGCTACTGACACAACCAGAGATGGGAATGCTAACTAGCAAAGGGCTTCACAGCACCACCATCGCCACTGCGGTCCCTCCTCTTCCTCCTCTTGTGTGTGCACATGGGTACTGCTGAGAGGGTCTCACTCTATAGCCCCCTTGGACTACTTAACACAGTTATCTCTCTCTGTCTAATTAAAAACAAGCAAAAATGTAGCAAGAGCTCTGTCACTACAAGGTTACAGTCACTGATGCTTCTTTAACTTAGAGTAAAGCTAAGTCATTAAGGAAAATGGAAAAACACATTTACATGAGACATGTTACAGCATATATTTTAGATAACTGACTATAAAAGACAGTTAACACTACACCATGCATTTCTCTCACTCACCAATCCCCAAAGGGCGCCTTCTGAGGTGGCGACAATGGTAGCAGCTCTCGGGGTATTGTACATCAGAGCTAGTTCTCCAAAACTGCCACGGTTGTCATACTGACCAACACAACGTGTTTGATTATCTTTTGTTACTAAAATGTCATAGGTTCCCCTAGAAGAATGACAAAAAACAATTACTTCTATAAGTTTAAGAAGTGACTGACACATGTAAAACATAAGGGGGGAGGGGCAGAGCTGAGGACATCGTTCAGATGGTAATGTTTTTGCCTAGCATACAGGAGGACCTGAATTTTCTCCCAGATCTAGATAAACTAGGCACAGTGGTGCATGTCTATAAACTACAGCACTCAGGAGTCAGAGGCAGGAGGATCAGAATTCAAGATCACTCTCAGCTACACAGTGAGTTTAAGGGGAGTCTAAGATACATAACATCCCGTCTCAAAAGGGGGGATAACCAACATAATTTTGCTAAAATATACACATGATCTTTGCATTTGGTTTTATTTTGTTTTTAATTTCTTGTGTATGGGTGTCTTGCCCACATGAATATTTGTGCACCATGTACATGCAGTGCCTTGAAGTCCTGACCCTTGGTCTTGGCTTCCTGAGCGCTTTTGAGGCTAAGCCACTATATCTTGTCTGATAAACAGTTTATTACAAAAAGAAAAAGATGTAGAATTTTATCAAGTATTCTGTGGAAAGTATTGACTGTAAAGTTTTTCTTTCATGGTTTATTGGAAACAAGGATAGAACTGATTAAAATAAAATAATGACACAACTTTCTACCTATTAGTTGCAAATTGCTCAAAAAAGTACTCAGGAGGCTGGAGAGATGGCTCAGAGGTTAAGAGCATTGGCTGTTCTTCCAGAGGACCTGAGTTCAATTCCCAGCAACCACATGGTGGCTCACAACCATCTGTAATGAGATCTGGCACCTTCTTCTGGTATGCAGGCATACAGACAGACACTGTACACATAATAAATAAATAAATCTAAAAAAATGTTGAAAAAAATGAAAAAAAGAAAAGTACTCGGGCTGGAGAGATAGCTCAGAGGTTAAGAGCACTGACTGCTCTTCCAGAGGTCCTGAGTTCAATTCCCAGCAACCACATGGTGGCTCACAACCATCTACAATTCAATCTTGTGCCCTCTTCTGGTATGTAGGCAGAACACTGTATATGTAATAAATAAATAAATCTTTAAAAAAAAAAAGTACTCAGAAATGACTACCATTTAGAGAAACAGGTATGCTCAATACACCACAAAAGCAAACAAACTTTCAGAACTTCTGTAAGACAACTAATAACACATTAACAAGTGACTCAAAGAGATCCTTTGAGGGCTGGGGGGATGATTGAGTTGGAAAGTGCTTTCGTGCTGGGTGATGATGGCACACACCTTTAATTCCAGCACTAGGGAGGCAAAGGCAAGTGGATCTCTGTGAGTTTGAAGCTTGCCTGGTCTATAGACCAAGTTCTGGACAGCCAGGACTATACAGAGAAACCTTATCTCAAAACAAACAAACAGAAGTCAGTCATGGAGCCTGCACTTCCAATCCCAGCACCAGAAGTGCAAAGAGAGACAGATAAGTCCCTGAGTTTGCTGGCTGGCTGGCTTATACTAACCAGGGAGCAAGCCCTAAGCCAAAGAAGGAGCCTATCTACTTCCAAACCCTGGTGTAGCCACACTAACGTACGTGAAATCACAAACACATAGATGCACAAGGAAGTGCCTGTGAAGTCACTCCAAAAGAGATAAAGATACTGAAAAGATGTGCAGGGCTACCCACCAGACAATATTTATGGCAGCAAAAGTTACAAAAACAATTATTTGTGGGTTGGAGAGATGGCACAGAGGACCAGGGTTTGCTTCCTAGAACCCACAGGGTAACTCAACCAGTCCAATGACTTCTTCTTGCTTCAGTGGGTACTAGGTACACATGTGCACAGACATACATGCAGGCAAAACACTCATACACATAAAAATTTTTATGGAAAAATTCTTTTTTTTTAAATTTTATTTTTATTTTTTTTTTAATTTTATTTTCCAGTTTAAATTTAGATAAGAATCAAGGTTGCTTCACAAGTCAGTTCCAGGTCCCTCTCCCATTCCCTCCCTTCCTCCCGTGCCCTGCCCCCCCCCCCCCGGAAAAATTCTTTAATTGTAATTAGCCCCTAGTATCAAGGAACCAAAAGGTAAACAGGAAGTTGCAAAAGTTTTCATCCAACATTTTGAACATGGGGGTCATGGGATTGGGGGAATGATATGTAAAATAAGATTGTTTCTAAAATAAAAAAAAATTGAACAGGGAGTTGGAGAGATGACTTAGTGATTAAGAGCACTGGCTGATCTTCCAGAGGTCCCAAGTTCAATTCCCACCAACCACATGATACATCAGCTTACACAGGTATATAGTTATCATCTATAACTCCAGTCCCAGGGGATACAATGGTATCTTCTGGTCTCTGTGGGTACCAGGCATGATAAGCATGCAGGCAAAACATCCATACAAATATATATATTTTAAATTTAGAAAGTTGTGAGTGGTGGCATCTTTATTGCCAGCACTCAGGAGGCAGAGACAAACTGTGAGTTTGAGGCCAGCCTGGTCTACACACAGAGTCCCAGGACAGCCAGGACGACATAAAGAAACCCTTGTTTTGAAGCAAAACAAATTTAAACAGAACTAGAGAATAACTTAGCAGTTAACAGTACTTGAAGAAGACCCAAGCTAGGTTCCTAGTATTCATGCCAGGCAGTTTACAACCACTTGTAATCCAGCTCCATGCCACCCTCTTCTGGCCTGTACCATTACCTGCACATATGTGTCATGCATGCACACAAACAGATATACGAGTAAATAAAAATTTTAAAACTTCCTCTGAACATGGGCCAGTGAGATGTCTTACAGCTAAGGGTGCCTGCTGCTAAGTCTGACAACCTGAGTTCATTCTCTGAGCACCACATGGTAGGAAAGATTTCATTCCAGCAAGCTGTCCTGATGCCTGCATGTCACACACATATATACATAAAACAAATTAATAAATGTAAAAAAACCAAAATACTTAAAAAATTTTAACAAGCAAAGGTCTGATAAGCTAAATTTATAACAGTTACTTGATGGCAACCAGTAAAAGAATCCCAAAACTTGGGGAAGCAATTAGAAAATTCTAAATAAGACCTATACCTTAGCTGCAAAACATTAAAAATGTTCATTTCATTTCTGATTTAAAATGTTATGTGCCATAGAGAATGTCCTTATTTTTAGGAAATACAGGTGGAGGTGCTCAGAGATACAGGAACATTATATTTGAAACTTTGTGCTGTTTTGAGACAGGGCCTCAGATGACTCAGGCTGACTTTGAAGTTGCTAAGCAGCTGATGTCGACCTTGAACTCCTGAACCTCTTCCTTCCATATCCCTATTGCTGTGCTTACAGAGAGCTGCAGACTACCATGCCTAGCTTTCTAGAACTTATTCTGAACAATTTAATGTGCTAAATATAGCAGAATTTTTAACATGGAGGGCTGGGTTTACAAGAATTTTCTATATTAGTTGCAACCGATTATGTTTTGTTTTAAAATTTGAAGTTACCTCAGAAGGAAGGGTTAGAGAGCTGGATCAGTGGTTAAAAGCACATACTGCACTTCCGGATGATCCAAGTTTAGATTCTAGCAAACTTGTCAGGCAGATTCCAACAATCTTTTAACCCCGGCTTCAAGGGATCTATCTGACGTCCTCTTCTGGTCTCTGTGGGCACTGTACTCGAATGTACAACCCCACTCGCCCCAACTCTCCCACCCCACCACACATAAATAAAAAATAATAACCTTTATTTCTATGTATACACACAAATTTATGTAACTATGCATAAACATTAATAAAAGTAAATCTTGATACTCTGTGTAGCTCTGGCAGTCCTGGAACTTACTATGTGGACCAGGCTGGCCTTGAACTCACAAAGATCTGCCTAACTCTGTCTCCTGAGTGCTTCGATTAAAGGTGTGCACCCCCTCCGAGCAGCTTAAAAAAAACCTTTTTTAATAGTGAAGGAACCCCTACTCTTCCTCTGAACAACACTAACAACTCAAGGGGTTAAGATGCAGTAAGTCAGGGACATAAACCCAGACTTCATTTTTCCCAACATGATTTACACTTGATACAGAGTCAGAAAGTGTTGAGGGCATGCAGGTAAGGGGAATACACTCATTTTTTAAAGCAAGCTGAAAATCCGAGACACAAGACAATACACAATCATGGACACTTTTCAGGGGGAATAAACTCAATTGAACACTGGCAAATAGCAAGTTTACAAAGCACATTATGCCATTATTTATCTAACTAGAAAGATATTCAACTACAAGTGGTATCTCCCCAGATACAGGTTTTACTCAGGACAGCAATAGACAGAGGCAGCTGTGATCCCTTGAAAGGCTTTGGAGGACTGGTTTACCCTGCACTAGACCTCCTTGGAATGAACATAGTATAAGATGAGGCTTTTGTCCTGAATTAGGAATACAGGGAAGTGTAACCAAATAATTACAAAGCATCTCCTACCGTTCTATGACATAAAAGTTGTCTCCATCATCTCCTTGGTCAATGACGTGTTCATCAATTTTGACTATCTTTTCAAACATGGCGTCGAGGACTTGAGAGAGCTGCTCCTAAAGCACACACCAAGAGAGCAGACGCTTTACATTTACTGAGAAAGCATAATGGTCAGCCATGCCCTTAACCTCAGCAAAAACCAAAACACCTCACAAAGATTGTATTTATCCCAATTTGTAAGATTATATAGTAAGGCTCTACACAAGATAACCACCAAAATTTAAACAGAAACCTAAGAGCTATTAGAAATAAGTTTTTTTGTACTATCTGGCTTTGGATGCCTTTAGCAGACAGCACAATTGTCAAACCTTTTTTTTGGTTTTTGACAGGAACTGGAGAGATGGCTCAGAGGTTAAGAGCACTGGCTGCTCTTCCAGAGGTCCTGAGTTCAATTCCCAGCAACCACATGGTGGCTCACAACCATCTGTAATGATATTTGGTGCCCTCTTCTAAAATGTAGGCATACATGCCAGAACACTGTATACACAGTAAATAAAATAAATTTTAAGAGAAAGGAAGTACAGAGAGCTAGGGATATGGCTCACTTGGTGGAGTGTTTGCCTAGCATTCAAGAAGCCCTGGGTTTGACTTCTAGAGCTGAAATAAAAAAATAAATAGCCTCTTTAATTCCTGCGATGGGGAGATAGAAACAGAAGGATCAGAAATGCAAGATTATCTAGGCAGAATTCAAGGCAAGACTACAATATTTGTATGGGAATCTCATCTAAAAAAAGAAAAGAAATGGGGGAGCCTCAATATCAACATCCTTAGTCATCAGAGAAATTCAAACCAAAACTATATTGAGATTTCCTGCCACCCCAATTAGAATGGGTATTACAAAAATGATAATAATAACAAATGCTGGTAAGGATAGGAAGAAAAAGGAATGTGTATATACAGATGGTAGGAATGTAAATTAGTAGAGCCATTATAGAAAACAGTATAGGCTCCAGAGAAGACTAAAATCAGAACTGCATATATCCAGCTATACCACTATTGGATATTCATTAAAAGGAAATGAAGTCAGCAGACAAAAAAATACATATTCATTTTTATGTTACTATTTATAAAAGCCAAAATATGAAATCAGCCTATATGCCCATCAGTATGTGAGAGGGAGAAGAGAATATGATATCGACAAAATAAGGTCAATAAAGAAAAATGAAATCATGTTGTTTGTAGGAAATGGACAGCATCATGTTAAGTGAAGACAGACACAGGACAGTGGTCATGTTTCCTCTTACATGTGAAAACTGAACAACAGAAAAAGATAACCTGAAAATGAAGGACTATGGGCTACTAGGACAGGAAAAGGAGAATAGGAGAACAGGAGGAGGATGGGCAGCTGGAAGAAACATTACATATATGGAAATGTCACAATGAAATCCATTAATTTTCATAAATTAGTGTGTAAATCATTATTTTAAAAATAAAAGGTTTTCAACAACTTACACAAAAACTGAACATATAAATCATGGTTCCAATTTCCTTAGTCCCACCACAAGTGTCACCTACCTGGATGGCTCCAGTATACTATACTGCTGTCACTTTTCAAAAGGTGTGGACAGTAACAAGATTACCCAATCTAAAGAGCAGAGTCTTGGAGATTATCTGTAGAGCAGCCTCTGAGTAGGCCAGCATAGCACTAACCTCTAAAAAGGATTAATTTCTACCTCAATTTTTATGACTAAAGGAAGCAAATCTAAGGAGAACATTTTACCACACAAAGTTACTTTAGAAGTGGTATCTAATGGACATAGCTTCACGTATGTACAACACATGTAAATACACTTACCAACACTACATGTCATAACCAGAAAGCAAGCATATGAATAACTATAATAAAAAGGAAACAACAGGGGCTACAGAGATGGCACAGAGGTTAAGAGCACTGACTGCTCTTCCAGAGGTCCTGAGTTCAATTTCCGCACCCACATGGTGGCTCACAACCATCTGTAATGAGATCTGGTGCCCTCTTCTGGCCTGCAGGCATACATGCAGGCAGAACACTGTATACATACCAAATAAATAAATCTTAAAAAAAAAAAAAAAAAAAAGAAACACCAGTACTAAATTCTGACCAAATACTGGTCTCAGCCTTGAACTGGAGTCCATCTGTTAGACAGAAGGATTAATATTGGGGCAGGGAACACAAAAAAATATCAGCTTTACACTGAGGTTAAAAATAGAGATCAGGCCGGGTGTTGGTGGCGCACGCCTTTAATCTCAGCTCTCAGGAGGCAGAGGCAGGTAGATATCTGTGAGTTCCAGGCCAGCCTGGTCTACAAAGTGAGTTTAGGACAGTCAGGGTTTCACAGAGAAACCCTGTCTCAAAAAACTTTTAAAAAATTGACAAATGGCTTTATTAACAATAAATAAAAAAAAAAAGAAATTCCCCTTTCCATTTATATGGCTGGGTCTTTCCGAGAAAACAGCTATCACCAAACTGTATTCCAGATAAACTGGATGCTCCTTCAGTTCACTGTCCTATTTTATTCAATCTTGGACTAATAAACTCTGAATAAAGTTGTGGGTAATCCTATAAGCCATATGGCCACTAACAGGCAGGTTGACAAATAGCAGAAATGGTTACTCCCTTTAGTCAGGAGCTCAGACCAGCCAGATTCCAGGAAGAGCTGATGAGATATTCAGTAGTAAGGGAACTCTAATCCAATCTTCTTGGTGGTAGTATGGGTTTCCCAGAAATAGGTCTAGTACCTCAGTCATTCATGCAGCTTCAAAGTACATGGCCTTCAAAGCAGAGGAGAGAACAAACTCTGAAGATTCCCTATTGCTATAGACAGGATGTTAAATTGGGGCTGGGGAGATGGTTTGGTGGGTAAAGTACTTGATACAAAAGCATGAGGATAAAACCCAGGTACAGATGTCCATCACAGCCCCAGCAATAGGTGGGTAGAGACAGGCGGATTTCCAGTACTCAGTAGAAAGCCAGTCTAGCTAAGTGATAACCAGTGAATTCCATATGAAACCCTGTCTCAAAAAAGTCACGTGGCACAGAAAAAGGAAAGGCATTCTACATAGCAGAAGTTGTCCTTTGACCTCCTCATGTGCACCATGATGTATGTGTACACACACACACACACACACACACACACACACACACACACACACACACACACACAGGGGGAAGGGAGGCAGGGAGAAAGAGAGAGGAGAGAGAGGGAGGGAAGGAGATTTGGCCATACATCTTGTATCAAACCCTACAGATACACAAGTTACAAGAAGTCCGATATGTGAAACATAAGAAACAATCACACACTTTGAGTGGATTGACAGCTATGGTAACAGAACCACATAGCAGCATCTCTATGGCAATCAATTCCTTTGCCAAATACATTCAGATCCTCCAAACAGAGCCAGGGTCATGTTACCTTGGCTTTTCTTAGCAGTGTAACTTAAGTACGTAGTTTCTAAATTGCTGGTATTACTAAAGGCATTTGAAAGCAACATCTTCAGTAGGTGTGTGACTTTAATCTCTGCACTCAGGAGCCAGGAGCAGGTGGATCTCTGTGAGTTTGAGGCTCACCTGGTCTATATGGGGAGTTCTGGTGCTAGCCAAGGCTACATAGTGAGACCCTGTCTTTATTTTTAAGGTTTCTCTGTAGCCCTGGCTGTAGACCAGGATGGCCTCAAAGTCATAGAGATGCGCCTGCCTCTGCCTCCCTCATTCTGGGATCAAAGGTGTGTGCCACCACTGCCCAGCAAGACTCTACCTTAAAACAAAACCACATCTCCATTATAGGGATCAAATCAATGTTACCTGATCAAGGTTTTTGAAAAGAAGAATATCTTTGCAAGCTTCCTGAAGCCGACATCTCTGCTCATCAGTTTTGGGATGAACCACCTGTCAATTGAAATATAGCCAAGATAATTATTTTATTCCATTTGAAAATCACCCATTTAAAAATTAATGTATTTCTTTATCCTAAAAAGTTCAGGGGGGATAAAAAAAAGAAAAATATGTTATGTGTAGGTTTTTTTTAGAATTTATTTCACACAAATGAATAGTAAAAAGTATCAAATGGTTTAGGTAAGTACCAAGAATATGCTGGAGCCACCTGCTGTCTGTGTGGCAGGCAGTCATCAGCTATCCCCTGGGAGCCTCCCAAGTCTCACCTGGACAGCAGAGGGTTATAAATTGTTCCTTCAATAAATACTGTACACCTCCTCAGTTCAAGGCACTCTCAGCTCTGGAGACAATAGTGAACACATATAAAACTGTATGACCTTACCTTCTATCAACACATAAATTATGTTTGAGACTGACAAGGTTAAGGACAAAAGGTAGGCAAGGGAGGTAAGTATAAGAGTATGTTTCTGACAGCTAGGTGAAGTCCCACTGAGGAAGTGACAACGGTGCTAAGACCTCAAGCAGATCAGGAGTGAGTGGTAAGATCGCTGTGGGAAGAGCAAGGCATCTTTTGGTGGGAGAATTAACAGCAGATGTAACAGGTAACTAAGAGAGATGAGACTGGCGTAGACAGGGAAAATCAGAACAGGCTGGTTGTTGGAGGGATGTCCAAATTCATAGAGGACACTATACATTGGTCATAAAATAAATGGAACTTGGCTGGGCGTTGGTGGCGCACGCCTTTAATCCCAGCACTCGGGAGGCAGAGGCAGGCGGATCTCTGTGAGTTCGAGGCCAGCCTGGTCTACAGAGTGAGTTCCAGGACAGTCTCCAAAAACAATACAGAGAAACCCTGTCTCGAAAAAAAAAAAAAAAAAAAAAAAAAAGGAACTTTCTCTAACAGCTTGGGGGCGGTTTGGGGTTATCAACTCAGGAAGAGACCTAATATTTGAAGGATCACAAGGCTGTTAGAGAAGGGTTAGGATTAGGATTATAGTTAGGCCTAGAGGAAGCTGGGAAGTTTACACTATTGTTTGCACCAGGTGGTAACCAAGAAGGTGCCAAGATGTTGGGGGATATTTGATCACACTGTTTGCATTTGCATTGATTAAATAAAATTAACCTTGGGTTAGGATACTGAGTTAGCAACTAGTTGACAGGAGGTAATCATGGAGCATCAGAGGGCAGCACCTGAAGAGATAAAGAGACACAGTAGTGAGGGGGCTTTAGGAGTTAGGCTCTGGCAGAGGGGAAGGACAGGGCTTTTTGGGAGCCACTAACAAGGGGAAAAAGTTAACGAGGTGCTACTCAATTTTTTTAAAAAACTATTTATTTTTATTTTTTTTTAAAGATTTATTTATTTATTACATATACAGTGTTCTGCCTACATGCCAGAAGAGGGCACCAGATTGAATTGTAGATGGTTGTGAGCCACCATGTGGTTGCTGGGAATTGAACTCAGGACCTCTGGAAGAGCAGTCAGTGCTCTTAACCTCTGAGCCATCTCTCCAGCCCTTATTTTGATTTTTTTCATTGGTGTTTTGTCTGTATGTATGTCTGTGTGAGGGTGTTAGATCCTGGAGTTATAGACAGGTGTAAGCTGCCATGTGGGTGCTGGGAATTGAACCGGGGTGGGTCCTCTGGAAGAGCAGTCAGTTTTGTTAACCGCTGAGCCATCCATCTCTCCAGCTCCAGGTTAACAGGTTTTCAACTCAGTCTTTGAGACTTGAGTTTTATTTATAAATAGAAAGGGATTTAATTAAAGCTACCTTTAGCAACAATGGCAGAGCCAGTGCCTGCATGAAAGGAATTCCTGCCAGGTTGCAGGCTGGTAACTGCAGAGTTGCAATTGCTGGATGAAAAATAGCAGTAGATTAAGGTGCAGCCACTGTGCCGAAGACAAAACACCAAGAAGTAGAGAAGTTTGAGTAGATTTTGAGGACAGAGTACACTAAACTTATTGAAAAAATTAGATGAAGTGATAAAAAAAGCAAGAAGAGTTAAGGACGACTCCAAATAAACAATGCTGGTCTGATTTAAGATGGGAAAAACTGTGGGTAGAAAACATGTTTAAATTATTTTTATTTTTAAGTGTGTGTGTGTGTTGGGTGCATGTGAGTGCAGGTGCTGCAAAGGCCATCACTGCCCAGTCACCCACAAGGGAATTATCAGGCAGTAGAGAACCACCTGTTGTGGGGCTGGAACTGAACCCAGGTCCTCTGCAAGAGCAGCAGAGCCCTCTCCAGCCTAGAAAGAGTATTTTCAAATAATCAGGAGTTCATGTTGTCACTGACATCTATGGACATGGTAATTAACAACAGCTATATAAGCTACAAGCTAACATATCAATTAATAATAGTAATTTACAAACTAGTTGTCATAGGGTTAAATAATATATGTAGTTTCTAAAACAGTGCCTTAAATTCACTTAGTAGGTGCTTCAAAACTATTACATTATGAACCAAAATGTTTACTGAACTAAAAAAAAAAGTTACAACCTAACATTGATATTGTGATTGAGAGACTTATTAAGCTACTTCCTAAGCATGGTTTTTACCAGAAATAAATACATTAAATTGTGTATGAGGGGCTGGCTCGGCAGGTAAAAGTGCTTGCTGTGGTAGTCTGACAACCTGAGTTCACTCTGAGTTCACATAAAGGTGAAAAAAGGGAACAGACACCACATGTTTGCAATAGGAAATTAGAAAAAATGTTTTAAGTTTGAAAAGTCTTCAAGAATTTTACAATATCCAGAGTTTAATTTTTTTTCAAGTTTGTACACCTCTAATAATCACTCAATGGTAGCACTTTTTTACTGTTTATACATTTTTGTTTATTGAGACAAGGTCTCAAAATGTAGCCTTGGCTGGCCTGGAATCTCTTTATGTAGGGAAGGCTGGCCTCAAATTCACAGAGAAATGACTGCCCCTGCTAATGGAGTTCTGGGACTAAAGGTGGGCATCACCACATCTGGCACATATTATTACAATGCTTCAGAAATCCTTCATAGGTTACTCATTTTAAGGTATGCATGACCACAGAAGTGTCTTTTATAATACCACGCTTTTAAAAGTGAAAGCTCATACTTTCTTTTGTTAAGGTAATTTATGTTAATTATTCAAAAGTTTTATAATGGAGGTTCTGCTGGGGCTGGAGAGATGGCTCAGGAGCTAAAAATACTGGCTGCTCTTCCAGGACTTGAGTTCCATTCCCAGCCCCACATAACAGCTCACAACTCCAGTCTCAGGGGCTCTGATGACCTCTCCTGATCTTTGTTGGTGCCAGGCAGACATGCAGCACAGACACACATGCAGGCTACACACTCATACAGGATTAAGAACAAAACTGCGACTACAGAAACAGGTCTAAGGTAAGAACACTTGTTTCTCTTTCAGAGGATTTGGGTTTGGTTCCCAGCACCCATGTGGTAGTTCACAACAGCCTTCTTTTGATCTCCACAGAAACCAGGCATGCATGTGGTGCTTATATATGAAAGTAAAATTTCATACACATAAAAGCAAATAAATCTAAAACACTGAACTTTAAAACAATAAACCAGGCAGGACAGTGGTGGTGCATGTCTTTAATTCTAGCACATGGGAGGCAAAGGCAGACAGACCTCTAGGCCAGCCTGGTGTACAGAGTACCAGGACAGCTAGAGCTACAGAGAAACTGTGTCTGGCAAAAACATAGTCAACGAGGATCCTATCATAACCATGGTTACAATCTAGGATATACTCTTTGAGGTATAAGTCTCTGCAGAGAAATACAGACAGACAAATGCATTAATTATTTTTATTTTACAAAATTATAAAATTAAGAAGCACCTCATTTAAACATATATGCTATGGCATTTGATCCTGAATTATACAATTATTTTCAATGGCTACAGATTATTTTCCCTTGAATATTATGTAATTTAGTCCTAGGTGATAATCCTTCATTAAAGAATCATTTTAGGTTTTTTCCATCTCCATTTGGGAATCCTTGGGAAGAATTCTGCCTAGTGTCTGCTGAGTTTGACTATGTCTTAGGTTTCTGCAATGCTAGTCAGGTGCTCCTCACCAAACTCCCAACCAGGGCTAGTTTCAATCTACTGTACAAAAAATGGAAGCCCATAGGTACTCTTTAATTTTATTTTCATTTATTTACTTACTTATTTTAGTTTCTTGAGACAGGGTTTTTCTGTATTGTTTTGGAGGCTGTCCAAACTCACTCTGTAGACCAGGCTGGCCTCGAACTCACAGAGATCCACCTGCCTCTGCCTCCCGAGTGCCGGGACTAAAGGTGTACGCCACCAACGCCTGGCTTGCCCTCCTTCTTAACTTTTCTCTACATCTTATTCCTCTCTTGTGGACTATAGTCTATACACACACTCACACAGGCATACAAACATTAAAAGCTAGGGTCTGTATATGAGACAGAGCATCTGACCTCTCACTGAGATTTTAATCCATACTTACTTTCACTATTAGTGATTCATCTGAGGTATTCAGTAGACAAGAAATTAGTAAAAAATACAGTTCTACATAGCATTTTAGCTTTAGTTCTTACCCTTGGATCAGTATCTTCCTCTTCTTCATCAGGGTTATAGGTTTCTGCACAGACTAAAATTGGAGAGAGAGAGGAAAAAGGAAGTTATAAAATATGTGATTTTAGGTAAAAAGTATTGTGTGTCATGTGTATACCAGAGGGTGCCTTTCTCATTCACTCTACATCTTATTTGTCTGTTTAGTTTGTATGTACGTACGTACGTATTTGAGACAGAGTCTTACCACTATGTAGCGTTGGCTGACCTGGTCCTCACTGTATAGGACCCACCTACTTGTGCCTCCTGAATGCCGGGACTAAGGGCGTGTGCACTACCCAAGCCTCCACCTTATTTCTTGAGATGGTCTCTAACTGGAGCTCACAGACTCAGCTGGGCTGATTGGCCAGTGAGCTGCAGGAACTTACCTGTCTCCACTTCCCCCAGCGCTGAAATTAGAGATGTGTGCTGCCTCACTTAGACATTTATGTGGGTGCCAGGGACCCTCAAACTTTCATTAAAGCATGTCCCAGGCAAGTCATCTCTCCACTCTTCCTCTTTTTACAGATAACAGTCCTATTTCCTTATGACCTTAATAACCTTTTAAAGATCATTTTTCAATATAATCATATTGATATGGTTTTAACATATAGCTTTGGTAGGGAGGCATAATCTAGTTTCACTGAATTTCTAAATTACATTAAACAACTGTTAGTAACATTTTAGTTTAAGATAACTATAGGGAAAATAGAGCATACTACTTTAATACATTGCAAGCATGTAAGTCTTACAAGGCAACACGATTTAGTAAAGAGCATTATCACTTAGGAATAAGTGGCTGACACAGTATCAGATTCCCAGTAAACTAGCCTGTCAGTCATCACTAGTCAGCACACTCACTGCATAGACACACAGATGCTGACACACATTTCTGTGAATGCGCTTTAAAGCTTCAACACACATAAGAAGTCCAAATCCCCTTTTATTTTTGATGAAATTTTTCTAAAAATATTTATTATGTGTACAGTATTCTGCTTGCATGTGTCTCTTCATGCCAGAAGAGGGCGCCAGATCTCATTATAGATGGCTGTGAGCCACCATGGGGTTGCTGAGAATTGAACTCAGTTCCTTTAGAAAAACAGCCAGTGCTCTTAACCCCTGAGCCATCTCTCCAGCCCATGATAAATGAATTGTTGAAACTGATAGACTTATACATTTCAAAGACAGTTAACACTAATTTGGAACTGTATCAAGAAAGGGGTTGGAGAGAAGGCTCAGTAGTTAGGAGTACTGGCTGCTCTTCTCAGTTCAATTCCCAGCACCCACATAGAAGCTTGCAGCTGTCTGTAACTCCAGTTCCAGGGGCCCCAACTCCCTCACACAGATTATATATGCATGCAAAATACCAATGCATATAAATTAAAAGAAAAAAGAAAGGAAGACTTAGAGCAAGCAGGTATGGTAGAGTGTGTTTGCATTCCAGAACTTGGAAGGCCGTGAACAAGAAGACTGCCAGTCTAGGCTGCATAGCAAGATCTGTCTCAAAAACAAACAAAAGGAAATAGTGCTTTAAAAATCCACGAATCTGCCGGGCGTTGGTGGCACAAGCCTTTAATCCCAGCACTCGGGAGGCAGAGGCAGGCGGATCTCTGTGAGTTCGAGGCCAGCCTGGTCTACAGAGCGAGTTCCAGGACAGCCTCCAAAGCCACAGAGAAACCCTGTCTCGAAAAACAAAAAAACAAAACAAAAAACAAAACAAATCCATGAATCCTTCTTGTGCTACATGCTGAGTCCCAGTCTCAAATAAATAAAACCAAAGAAAAATACCACCAACAAAAAACTTATTTAAAAAATAATTTGGGGAGCTGGAGAAGTGGCTCAGTGGTTAAGTGTACTGGCTGCTCTTCTAGAGGAAGTAGGTTCAGTTCCCAGCACTCATAGGGCACCTCACTCACGATTGTCTAGTTCCAGGGTTCCAATACCCTCTTTCTGGCCATCTTGGAAAGCAGGAAATCATGTGGTTCAGACATGTAAGTGAACAAAACACCAATAATATGATATAAAAATAAATACATTTGGGGCTGAAGGGATGGCTCAGAGGTTAAGAGCACTGACTGCTTTTCCAGGGGTCCTAAGTTCAATTCCCAGCAACCACATGGTGGCTCAGAACCATCTACAATTCAATCTGGTACCCTCTTCTGGGCATGTAGGCAGAACACTGTATATGTAATAAATAAATAAATAATCTTAAAAATACATAAATATATTTTAAAAATACATTTTTGGAGGAGGTGGGAGGTTCAAGGCAGGATTTCTCTGTGAAGTCCTGGCTGTACTGGAACTTATTCTGTAGAGCAGGCTGACCTCAGACTCAGTGATCCACCTGCCTCTGCCTCCCAAGTGCTGGGATTAAAAGTGTGCACTAGCACTGCCCAGCATTAAATATTTAAAAATTAATAATCTGGGACTTTTGATTTTCAGAGTCCCAGAATGACCCACATTGACCCCCACACCCCTGCTTTGTAGAGGTCTTTTATTCTGCATGCCTTGCTATGTGTGGTTCTTCACTTTATATAAAAGTATTTTATATCTGTTAGAAAAAATAATAAAACTTGGACCATAATACATGTAACAAAAAATGTTATCAAGCTAGTCCCATAAAGAAAGCAAAAAACTAGAGAGCTGGGGATTTAGCTCAGTTGGTAGAGTACAAAGTTCATGCCCAACACTAACTGAATGGTGGCCACGCCTATAAATCAAGCAATATGTACGTGTGAGACATCAGAAGCTCACGGTCATCCTTGAACTCATAGGGTAATGGGGAAGCCTGAGGCACATAGGACCCCGACTCAAAGAGGGAGGGTGGGGAATACAAACAGGTTTTCTGTATTCTGGAAGAATTAATTTTTGTGAACTACGAGAACATCAAATAAAATGAGCTGAAGTTGTATTTACAACTAAATTGCCTGCTCTTGAAATCATGGTGTAAACGAGGCATATCCGGGATATCTCTTCCCTGGAGCCCTATCCATACACTGCCTCTAAAAGAGAAAAGACCAAGACAATGTTCAGGCTCTCACCAGAGACCACCACTTTCCATGCTGGTACTAAAATATAGTTCAAGTGACTCAAAAACTCATGAGAAAATTTAATGGCAGTATAATCTAGGATGCTAAAAACAGCAACATGAAGAATCATTTTTGAAAATAATTTTTTATTTGTAAATATGGAAAAATATTATGACACAGATTTGCAAAAAGACCAATTATAATAATATATGTACATATTTACTCTAAGGACTCACAGGTAGTTTTACTTTAGTATAATAAATATATACAGCCGGGCAGTGGTGGCACACGCCTTTAACTCCAGCACTCGGGAGGCAGAGGCAGGTGGATCTCTGTGAGTTCGAGACCAGCCTGGTCTACAGAGTGAGTTCCAGGACAGCCTCCAAAACAATACAGAGAAACCCTGTCTCCAAAAACCAAAAAAATTTAAATTAAATAAAAAAATAAGTATATACACTGTTACCAGTTTATCTTTCCAGTTTAAAGATGAATTTATGTTCACTTAAGATACTCCTATCTTGGGCTGGAGAGATAGCTCAGAGGTTAAGAGCACTGGCTGCTCTTCCAGAGGTCCTGAGTTCAATTCCAAGCAACCATATGGTGGCTCCCAACCACCTATAATGAGATCCGGTGCCCTCTTCTGGCTTGCAGGTATATATGCAGAGCATTCATATTCATAAAATATAAACACAATAAAAGCTTTAAAAAAAGATAGTCCTATCTTATTTTAGGATTTTAGCCATATGTCATAAAAGAGAGCACATACCTGATACTCGTCTAGTAAATCTGCTAGGAGCCGGAACTGTGGGAGGAAAAAAGTTAACATTTAGTCATCACCATTGTGTCACATGCCTCCTCTTCTTACCCTGCTTTTTGCAACGATCTCTGATAACAGAACTAACCACCCACAATTACTGGTGGGGCAGTCCACACGCTTCCATATTTGACCACAAATTATTGTTACTCATACAACTCATAGAGCTCATATTACTGTTGTTCATATAAAGACAATACAGAAAATACTTCCCTGTCAATGGTGGTGCACGCCTTTAATCCTAGCACTTGGGAAGCAGAGGCAGGCAGATCTCTTTCTGAGTTCAAGGCCAGCCTGGTCTATGGAGTGAGCTCCAGCACAGTCAAGGCTACACAGAGAAACCCTGTCTTAAAAAACTAAACAAACAAACAAGAATAAATTTAGGGCCTGGTATAATGGAGCATGAATTCAGTCACAGCTCTGGAGAAGCCAAGGCAGGCAGTCAAGGCCAGCCAAAAAACTTCCCTAAAAAGAAAAGCTCCTTATAACTTCAATGCCCCAGACCTGAGTTAGGCAGCTCACAAGACTGTCTTCTTCTGGCTTCTAGGAACACTATATATGTATATGTAGTATATGTAGCTAAGGATAACCTGGAACTTATCTTTACATATACTCACACAGACAGACAGACAGACACACACACACACACACTCAATTAAATTTTCTTTTGGGATTTTATTTTTTATGTGTATAGGTGTTTTGCCTGAATGTATACCAATGTACCACATACATGCATACCTGGTGTCTACGGAGGCCAGAAGATGACACTGGATCCCCTGGAAAGGTAGTTCAGACAGGTTGAGCCACCAAGTGGGTGCTAGTAACTGAACTCAGGGTCTTTTGAAGAGTAGTTAGTGCTTTTAGCCACCAAGCCTGATAACCTGAATTTCATTCTTATAACCCATATGGTGGAAAGAAAACTCTTGGAATATGTCCTCTGACGTTTATACACATGCTGTGACACATGTTTGCTCCTGACAATAAATAAATGTAACTATAAAAATATATATGGCAGCCTGGTGGTGGCGCACGCCTTTAATCCCAGTACTTGGGAGTAAGAGGCAGGCGGATCTCTGTGGGTTCGAGACTAGCCTGGTCTACTAGAGCTAGTTCTAGGACAGCCTCCAAAGCCACAGAGAAACTCTGTCTCAAAAAACAAACAAACAAAACAACAACAAATATATATATATGTATATATATTTATTTATTTATTATGTGGCACTGGAGAGATGACTCAGCAGGCTCTATCTCTTATCTCTTGTCTCTCCCCACTCTTCCCCCCCCGCCGAGATAATAAACTATGATTAATGTGCCCTCCAAGGCTTGTGCTCCATTTATCGCACCGGTCTTGGTTCCATGATCACACGTGTTTCCCTTTCTACCTTCTAATTTCTAATCTTAAGCAAAGTAACAACATTTTGATGCCGTGACTCGACAGGTTTTTCTGGCATCTCCTACTGCCTTGACTGTCTGAGGTGCTGACAACCTGTGAACTGCAGGGAGCTTTTCCAACTAAGGATCTCTGGATTCTTCTACCCCCATCGCCATGTCTTGTAAGCCCGCCCCTCCCTTGCTTCCATGAGCTAGGACTTATCGAGATTGGGTCTCTCTCATTTTCAGACTAGTGGAAAATCCCAGTACTGGGTGACCAAGTGTCTTTTAGGCTCCAGGAGCCCTGGCCCTGACCCGTGCCTTTCGCATTGATCCTCCGTTAGTCTCTGGGACTCTGGAGATTATAGGCTTTCGCTCTCTGCCTCTCATGGAAGCTGTCCATGCCCCATATCAAACCATGTGCCGCTTTTGGCACCCATATTCTACAGTGATCCATAGCTGAGAGTGTGGCCTCTACTCTTCCTTGTCTTGCTTTCCTCTTCCCTGCATGCTAACACTCCGCAGGCCACAGAGGCTTCCTGCCACTTCCCATCGTGGCTAAACCTATGTCAGAGCAGAATCAACTCCCACCTGAGAGTGTCCGGCAAATTCCTCTTTTACATCCAGCAGTGCTTCTACCGTGTTTCTTCTCCATGCGGATGCCACCGGCTTACAATGGCCTGGCCTGGGTTAGCGTCTGCTCGGGACGCTCTGAGAGCTTTTCATTTTCTTCCCCATGAATGAGGTTCAACGTTTTCATGTTTTGTACTTCTCAGACATTAGTTCATTTGTCTCTTAGACCTACAGTGGTCACACATCTTTCTGCCTCACTCGTGGAGAAAAAAAGGTCACTTCTGCTGTCAGGCAGACGGGAATGTGATTATGGGGGCTGCCATCTTGACCATGCGGCCTAGCCTGGGGACCACCATGTTACTGCATAACCTAGCTGTAGGCACGCCCGCTCAGTCTAGCCAGCTTCTGCTGCAAAGCCTACTGACAGATACAATTCATTCGGGCTTTTATTTTTGTCTTTAATTTCATCTTTCACTGGCCCTGTTTCACATGGCTTGTTTATGGAATATTGTGCCTTTCCAGGGCTCCTGTTCTATCTGCAGCAGATCTGCCTTCTCATCACTGACTGTCTCTTTAAATCTGTCTGTCTGCTACAATATACTGCATGCTGGGGATCAGAAATTATACTTTTACCCAGTCCTGTTTAATGTATCTATATGTAGCCACTGTTTAAGGAATATAAGGTAACTTTATATACATTTTAAATTCAACTGTGCTAAGTATCAAATATTTCTAAATTGTTATATCTTTAAATGATGGTAAACATTTAAAGTAATAAAGATCTATTTCAAATTAACGAGTATTTATGCCACCCAGTCTTTCCTGTAAGCTGTTTACAAAGGTAAAGCTTTTATTACAAAAGGGATTTTTCTCTAGTCACCTATGCACTTAAGACAAGTCACTAAAGATAAATTTTATCTGCTAAGATAAACTAAACAGACAGACAGCCCTCAAAATGCTCAGAGACCTAGAGGAAATGGCATTTAAATGTTTTACTAAAAAGCTTTGATAACAAGAGAAACAGGCCAGCTGCTGGCCCCACCCCATTTCCACCAAGAAGAATGGTGGACACTGAAGAAACTCCACCCACAAAAGTGGCAACTCTGGCCACTGACCAACCCTGCCTTTCACCTCAACTGCTGCAAAGGAATTTTCAGTGGACAAGAGGACAGTAGAATTAACTTTTCTCCACGTTGCTTGGGTCAATGGTACGGAAGTCTTCCTAAAAAGTCCCCAATCCACCACAGGTCCCATGCAATTAGCAGAAGGCAAGTGTCCTTAAAAGCCTCTTACTTTGCCAGGTGGTGGTGGCACACACCTTTAATCCCAGCACTCGGGAGGCAGAGGCAGGCGGATCTCTGTGAGTTTGAGACCAGCCTGGTCTACAGAGCTAGTTCCAGGACAGCCTCCAAAGCCACAGAGAAACCGTCTCGAAAAACAAAACAAAACAAAAAAGCCTCTCTGACTTCAACAACTATGGAGGACTTTGGGGGTGGCTGTGCATGCAGCCAGCTGGTGAGTCTCTGTTATTCTTCAATCATTAACTCAGGTAAAATTTTATCCTTCTCAAGAACTCTGATGCTTTTGATGACTGGTAGCTTTGCCAACTTAAAGTAACAGACAAGGCAAAGCTCTGTCACAAAACAGATTTTAGGAAAAGGTATTCTAAGGTTTATCTATAGAAGACGGTAATGTAGCCGGGCGTTGGTGGCGCAAGCCTTTAATCCCAGCACTCGGGAGACAGAGGCAGGCAGATCTCTGTGAGTTCGAGGCCAGCCTGGTCTAAAGAGCTAGTTCTAGGACAGCTTCCAAAACAATACAGAAAAACCCTGTCTCAAAAAAAAAAAAAAAGGTAATGTAATAAAGTGAGTTGAGACAGTTAAAAGAATGAAATATGTTCCAGATTTCTCTCTTTTTATTATGCTACTGTTTATAGTCTTAATAATTAATAAAGTTCTGATAAGCTACTAATCTAACTCCAGCAGAGTACTAAACAACTATACCACTATACAATCATAACTGCAAAGTCAAGATCAAGGTACTTTTTATTATGCTAAAAAATATCTGTCAGTTTTAAAAATGTTACTGCTTTCAGCCAAGTTGCTTCTAACACAAATATGCAGCTAATGTGTCTAATACTTATGTTTTCTCAAACTCAAAGTTCCAGGGAGCCAAATTGGACCCACCCTAACAGTTCAGATTCACTCCAAATATTATTCAACCTCTCCCTGGTACTGGGAATCCCTCTCCTCATCTTAGAGCCCCTGGGGAACCCCTCCCTCATCTTACAATCTTCCCCTCAAATACCAGGACCTAAGGGAAAAAAATTCTAAATTAATCTTGTCCTCTACTCTGCTCATATCTTGCCAGGTCTACAAAGGTGCCAGAGTTCCACACAGCCAGGACTGCGATGGAGCAACCAGCTACCCCAGGACGTGGCAGCACCCCAGCTTTCTCAGGTTCCCCAAAGTCAGTCAATGCCCCCTAGGTCAGCAGGAAGCAGTCTTGAGAACTCTGATGCCCTTTTTCCCTGACTTGCCATGCTAACACCCCACCTCTTTTTAATAATAAGTAAAGGTGAGAATGAAAGGTTCAGGCATTACGCTGGCCTGCCCTGTTACCTGGTAGAATGCACTCAGGCAGTTCTCTGGCTAGCCCAAAGGTCCATGAGAACCAGTCTGTACGCAGGTGCAAAGGACCCCTTTAAAAGACAGACCCCCGCCCACTTATACTCTCTAATTTCACTCTTATGTCTTCTTTCTCCATTCTCTCCCCCACCACTATAATAAACTATGATTAATGTGCTCTTCCCCCCCCCCCCAAAATAAATAAATAAATAAATAAAATAGTATTGGCTGTTCTTCCAGGACCCAATTCCTAGCAACCACATGGTGGCTCACAGACATTTTTTTTTTTTTAAGTTTATTATGTACACAGTGTTCTAGAAAGTACCAGATCTCATTACAGACGGTTGTGAGTCACCCACCATGTGGTTGTTGGGAATTGAACTCAGGACCTCTGGAAGAAGAACCAGTGCTTTTAAC